ATAAAGCAAGTAATTCTTTGCCATAAGGAAAATGTTTGAACTAGTCAATGAATGGCAAAAGTCAATTTTGTGGGATAATCTGATTAATAAATGTCATCCATATGCCACTGCTGCTGTTTTAAGACAATTGGTGATGAAAAGAGGGGCATACAGAAATCTGTTCAATGTACCAGTTATTTCCAAAGGTCTCCTGCTTGTATCTTTAAGAGGCTCCTCTGTAACTTTAAGGTAGCAACCATCTTCTCCTGATGAAGGAAAGGATTATTGGATGTCTTTTGAATCTCACTGGTGTCTCTACTTTTAATTAGCTGGAAGAGATTCTCATTTATCAGTATAAAGAAACAATCTCTAATCATGAGGAATTTATCAGGAGTCAGATAGGGCATTATGAGGCAATACTATTAAATTTTTGGGTAACGGGTTGTTAAAAAAATGAGAACTAAAAAAGCTAAAAGTCACAGGAAATAGGATGGAAAAAAAAAGGCTGAGGATTTTAAAAAATCCAGACCTCTACTACCAGAAGTCTGGCCATGTTTTGGTCAACCTAAGTTTTAGTGTGAGGGCAAAGGCAGGAAGTATTAGAAGAAGTCTGTATCCATCCAAGGCAGATTTGCTCCTCAGTGGTGAGAGGAAGATCAATGCAAATAAAAGTATACCATCATATCATCTGAAGCAGTCTAACCAGCTCAAAACCACCACATTAGACAGACAAGATGCACTAATACCTCTGTCTCTTATGTGCAAGCGTCTTCCAGCAGATCCCAAAGGGCCCAGGAGATTATTTTAATCTGGCCCTAAATATTATGCTCTCATCTACTTTCTAACAATTATCTATTAGGTATCTAGAGTTTACAGACAAATAACAGGTAAATGTCTCTGCCCCTAGGGTCTTCCAAGTATTAAGTTAGATGCACTTCAAGCTTCATGTCTACCATGTTCAAAATGGAAGCTGGTTTATGACCAAAAGCCAAATAGTCTACTGGGTTTTAATATTTTAAGTTTGAAAACATGTATTGAACTAGAAAGCTTAAGGATTACTCAGCCTAAACTATTATTTGACAAACGAAAATATTTCCATGAACACGACAATGCTAAAAACACACCAGCATAAGTCTGTCAAAGAACAGCCAGTATCCAAGTGGTTCAGTAGCTTCAGATGTTTAACAAGGTATTTTAAGTATACATGGATGAAGGCCTGTAATGGGTCTAGTCAGAAATTCAGCTAAAGAAGAAGCAGCTTGACACACTATGTTATCATGCACCAGATATTTAACAAGACGCTAAGGAAATACCACCATCCTCTGGTTTGGAGTAAATATGGTCTTTATAGTCTATGTACATTTGGAAAAGCAAGTACTGTAACCTATCTTTGTTTAGAAATGCAGTAAGATACTCAAACTGACCCAGCAGATAAGACTAAATATACTGAAAATGAACACGCTCTACGCAGGTAAACCTAACATATGACCTATTGCCTCACTTCCCCCCTCCCACTCAATTATCTGTCTCCAAAGTCCATATCATTCCTCTCTCTCAATTCAATACCAACTGCCAAAACTCATGGGCAACCAAGACACAAGAGGAAAATATTTTAGATTCAAGCTTTTAAGTGGGCAAATATTTTTCAAATGATATTGAACTGTGCCCTGATATTGTCCTTTTAATGGCTAGAACAATGTGTTAAAGTCTATGCTATATGTCTACTTCACAGCATTCAAACTACAAGAGAAAAAAAACATTGCAGTGATTTTTTTTTACTAACTTAAGGTTGATATATCATTGCAGAGTGTTATTTTGCACTAAAAAACAAGAAATCAATCATGCCCATCATTGAACTTTTTTGTAATAAAGTGCAATGCATAGATTCAAAAAAATAATGTTAAATTATTCTGCAGTGCAAAAAGAATATATTCACTCCTTTCAAAAAAATTGGCTAATTTAGTACCATAAAAAATGCTGGATGTTCTCGCATATTGTCTTTTTTTTTCCTGAAATGCTACCAAAATCAGACTTATAACTATGAACAATGTATTTGACATTGATAATTGGTAGAATTTCCTATATCCACATAAATTAAACTTCAATATTCTTATATTTTATTAAGAACAATGTTTATAAAATCCTCCTGTATCTTTCCTAAAGATAGCTCTAGGAAAAAATGACTAGAGAGGCCAGTATATACTTACAGCCAGATACTAGACACAGCTTAAAAGCAAGAATTCCTCCTTTACTACTTATACAATGCTTTCACAACTTTCCTCCAGCTGCAAAGGCACTGCACTACACTAAAGGCAAGCAGCCAGCTCTACTCCTCTAGATACTTTATGCTGTACTTCCATTAACCCATAAACCAAGCAGCACTGATTCATACCTACGAACTGGCCTCGTGGCTCACAGCAAAAAAAAAGCAATAGTCCTAAGGCAAAACATAAAACTTAATATTTACTAATTGCTGTGGAATACTAATTACAGAACTGCACAGTTATGTCATCTCTAGAAGCTATTATAGCTGTAAAATTTAAATAGAAAGCATTAAAATATACTGTACGTCATTAAAGACTTGCCATAATAAACTGAGTTTAATTTTTATTTTTCATGATACAAACTAAAATCACTAGTTATGCTACGGAGAAGACTTAGTTTTATTTTAAGAAAATATCACCCTTAAAAGGCTTTCATGAAAGATTGGCTCATCCTTAACCAGAGATTCTGTATTGTATTCATATTTAAATAATATCTAAAATACTTGCAAAAATATTGCATTGTGAGTGAAATTGTTTACCACAGTGGAGCAGCTCACTCTAATTGAATTACATTGTCATTGTTTCTTAATAAGAAATTGAAGCTCAATGAACTGAGAAATGTTAAAGACCCTAAAAATACTGAAGCAGCAGCAAATGTAGTTTGAGATTATCTAGGGAAAGGTGATACCAAAGTGCATACAAGCATTAGTGAAAAAGCCTCAAATGCTAGTAAAGTACTATGATCTCCATTTTATGGAGAGAGAAAGCAAGAAACAGAACTCTGCCTACCAGAAATTCCAACTCTTGCTGCTGACTTAATTAACTAGAGAACTAAAGTTAGTGGAAATATATTTGTGGGTTTTAAAAAGGTACACAACAAATTATACTATGCTTCTCAGAGAAAAAAACATCTGCAAA